TATCTTTAGAAGAATCTACTTGTTTAATATGATCAGGAGATTTGAGTTATTGACCACCATACACGAATATCTTATATATGTTACATCATTCCCACCCCAATATTCTAAAATATACTTCTTGCAGTGAAAACCCTGGAAATAATTTATTGTTCCTCTGAGTAGAATACAATCCATTGACCAATACTTTAAACTTTATACCTCACCTATTTGTAAACAGACCTGAGACTAAAATTAAATGGCCAAATTCACAAAAGAATAATCTGGAAACGATAGAATACTTTGTCATTTTATTTTCAAATAATACCAAAACACCTATTCCACTGAGTTAACTATTCATTTATTTTTGTCTATATAATATCAAAAAAGTTTGACCAAATTTTTCACTGAGTTTATTAATATTTTCACTGAATTTCCAGATGTTTTGCTTTCACATATTGGTGTCACTATATATCTTTATTTTCCCCTTACACTATGATTCCTATGTATAGTTTATTGTTGGGGGATAGCTGCAGGGCAGGACAGATATTAAAACTATAGAGGATCTCATAAGATGTGAAGCTGAATATCTTTTTTTTAGATTAGGTAACCTTTTTATAGCTTTGAGGGAAAACATGGATAGTACTCCTGTGTGTGTGTGTGTGTGTGTGTGTGTGTGTAGTACATTGACAAAGAATTCTTTTATATTGAGAATGAGCAAAACCTTATGCCAACCATTGCAGGAAAACTCTAGAAGTTTGGGTTGTTTTAATTTATAGGCCTGCAAGGGATTTTCATTTATACACATATAACCCAATTCATATATAACCTCAGAGGAATTAGTACAGAATACTGGTTAAGAAGGCAGAGTTTTTTACAGGGTCGTGAGATCTAGCCCTGAGTTGGGCTCAGTGCGGAGTCTGCTTGAGACTTTCTCTCCCTTTCCCTCTGCACTCGCAGCCCCCCGTGTGGACTCTCGCTCTTTCTAAAATAAATAAATAAATCTTAAAAAAAAAAAAAAAAGACGAAGGCAGAGTTTTACTCTCAGCTCTGACATTTCCAGCCTTTCTCAGTGTTCTCATCTGTATTAAGTGATAAAAATTACAACTTCCTTACGGAATGTTGAATGAAAAAGGACTCAACACAGTGACATGCTCAATTAATGTTAGTGTTCGTGTTGAGAACCAGGAAACTTGTCATTTTTAATTATGAAATAACATCTACATCATCGACTTTGGGTCACTGTCTTTAATTTAAATAAGCAATCCACTTTTCAGCTTAGTTGTTGTTTCAGAGGAGCAAATTTCCTAAGCAGACCGTAGCCTGTTCAGAGAAGAGCAAGGAGGAGACGGTGGTCAGGGCAGACCAAGGAAAGGAAGCCATGGCATCAGCAGGGACTGTAGTCAGAGAGGGAGGCAGATAGTAGAGCCAACAATTTTGTTTTGTTCACAAATTAGGCAGCAAAACAAGGTATTTGGAAAAGCATGAATTTGGGAGCATTTCGCTATTATTACACTACACTATCCTACTATTTCATCCCTTTTGGAATGATGAAATTTTTCTATTTTAATTCTGACGATTCAATAATTCACCACTTGAATTAGTTCATAGTAAACCATGCATACCTCTTTTTCTTGGCTGTTGCAGGTGGTTTATTGTTCAACTACCACCATTTTGGGCTTAAAAAGAAAGTTTTTAGTTTTTAATAAAAAAAAAAAGTTTTGTCTCTTAACCTAAAGCAAATTCATGCCATCCAGCTGGACCATAAGAAGATACAACTAAGAACTAAAAACTAAAAACTTTTTTTAAGCCCAAAATGGTGGTGGTGGTAGTGAAAAGAAGGGGCACCTGCACCCCAATGTTCACAGCAGAAATGTCCACAAGAGCCAAACTGTGGAAGGAACCAAGATGCCCTCCAACAGACGAATGGATAATCCATATATACAATGGAATATTACTTAACCATCAGAAAGGATGAATACCCTCCATTTGCATTGACACGGATGGAACTGAAGGGCATTATGCTGAGTGAAATAAGTCAAGCAGAGAAAGTCAATTATCATATGGTTTCACTCATATGTGGAAAATAAGGAATAGCATGGAGGACCACAGGGGAAGGGAGGGAAAACTGAATGGGAAGAAATCAGAGAAAAAGACAAACCATGAGAGAAGAGACTCTGGACTCCTGGAAACAAACTGAGAACTATAGAAGGGAGGAGCTGGGGGGATGGGGTAAGCGGGTGATGGGTATTAAGGTGGGCATGTGTTGGAATGAGCAGTGGGTGTTATACTCAACTAATGAATTGTTGAACACTACAACAAAAACTTATGGTGGTACCATACGTTGGTTAACTGAACATAATGAAAAATAAATTTTAAAAAGAAAGAGAGAGAGACAAAACGTTTTTTCCCAAGAGAAATCCCTACATTCCAGGTTCCTGAGTGACACGTAGACTCCAGGTCCTTGATTTAGGGCCTGTAAAATCTCTGAACTTTTGCAGAAGCAATTGCTTTTTTTTTTTTCTTTTCTTTTCTTTTTTTTTTAATATCTCTGGTTACTTGACTCTTTGCCCCGCCTATTTCCTAGAACAAAGAACTCTGGGATTCATAGGCAAACATATCCTTCTGTCCAGCTCTCAGATTTTAAGTCCTATATTCTACTGAGCAAAATGAAATTGTTCTAAAGTAAATCAAAACTAGCTTGTCAGAATCTTGCTTTCTGTGTTTCTGATGGTCTCGGGACTAATAAGCAACATGTAGATGGCATTTCTCAGGGTCCCAAAGCATATTAAAACTTTCTTTTCATGGAAGAACTAGATCTTCACCTGAACTTAATCACCTGCCCAAGGACTTCAAGAGCTTCAGAATATATATCCATTGGAAACTCATGTGTTATATTCATATTGTTTTCATACTGGAGTTTTTTTTTTTTTTCAAATAGTGCAAAATAATAAAGAATTTGTTTTAAATAAACATTCAACCTTTCATCTCTATATCTCCATCATGGGTGGATACAGTATCTTAGGGAGTTTAGACAGTTTCCTTGACTTAGTTATAGCCCTAATAATCAGAAACTGAAATTTTATAAAAAAATAACTCTCCTTTTTTTTGGTCTATTTTGCTTCTTGAGTTAATCTTTTTATAATTCATAAAAGTAGCAAATTCTTGTAAATATTTCAGATATTACAGTTCTATATGAAGTTAAAGGTGTCCCTAATCTCAGAAGTAACTCTTTGTAATTATCTGGTATCATTATAGATCTTTTCCTACACACATACTCAATCAGAATATCAGTGTATATTTGCTACAACTCTGTTTGTCTTCCCTATTTTTCCTTCTTCCATCCTGTATCCCACTCTTATCCTCATCCCCCTAATTGAATCAGTTATGCAAATTTTATATTTCTTTTCCTCAGGATTTTTTTTCTTTTTAAGGATAAAAGCAAAAATGGCTCGAAGTCAGTTTCCTGTAGTCTTTTATGCTAATTTAAAGTCGTATAAGAGGTTATCTAGGTATGTTTGAAGAAACCAGAAGGAGAAGGGGGGGATCTTTGAGGTGTATTAGAGCAGGGAGCATAATTTAATAAATAAAGGATGGCAATCTAGGAATATGTGAAAGACTCCTGCTGTCCGGGCTCACCATCATAGCACCCAGACTTCCCAGGATGACTGCATGAGTTCTCCTAAGAGCGCAGTGTCCCCTAACAAGTGTCCCTACCTCAATAAGGATTTCTCTGCCCTACATGGACAAGAAGAGCAGGAAGACACCAGATTTCAAATGCTTATCCCTCCCCTGGAAAGTAAATGATCAGCGTTGACAATGACGGACTGGAGATTAGCCCTTCCTCCCACATGCGCGACAGTAACTAGTGAAAGGAGAACAGGACCCAACGCAGCTGCAACTGAATTGTCCATAAGACAGGGAGGATGGGGTCTAGAACTGACTTAATTACATACAACAATAATAAATAACTGGATACTTCTTACATATCTGAGATGTCAGCTGGGATAGTCTTCAAATACGTAGAATTGAGGGATGGGCTTCACTTCATTACACTTGTTTTTGATAACAAAACTGGGACCATACTATGCCTTTTTTCTATAAATTGGCTTTGCAGACAATAATTACAGAGATCTTTCCATGACTGTATATTCTGTTTCATATTCATCTATTTCGCCAGAATAGACAGTTCAGAGGTTAAAAAAAATTGACAGATTTGGTGAAAGGAAGATAAAGTAGTTCTTTTACTGCTTCTAGTTTATTTTATCTTATTGGTTTGATTTTTCACATTTAAAATTTTAATGCATCTGGAGTTGTATTACGGTTCAAGTTCAGGATCTATTGTGGACATAAGTGGATAGTCACTTGTTTCCATACTTTTTCCCCTGGTGCTTAGCAATGCCACCTTTGTCCTATAGGAGACTTCCTCATCTTTGAATGCTTGCTTCTAAGTTCTCTATTCTGTTGTTCTAGTCTATTAGTGGCAAATTGCTCCACTTGAATTATTATATGCTTTATGATACGTCTAGATAACTAGTAAAACAAAACTTCACTTAAGATTTTTCTATCAGATTGCCTTATTTGTAATTACCTAAATATTGTCTATATCCATGTTTATATTCTCCCTTTCTTGTTCTTAGTATTAACTATTTTCTTTCTTTTTTCCTTGATGAGACTTGCCAGAAAACTTTCCACTGTTTGGTTTTGCTTCTGGTTTTGACTGTTTTTCTTTTTTGTCTCTTCGGTTAAGCAGTTTTCAATTTTATTTAAAAAGTCTATTTTTTGTTAGTTTTTCCCTGTTTTTTCCTCTTTCATTAATTTTTCCTTTAAAAATTCTTTCAAAAATTCTTTGTTTCTCAAGGGAAATTTAAATAACATCAAATCAAATTATAAATGACATAAAACCAACTTACAAATGTTAACATGATTTCCCCTTTCATAATGTACACATATATCAAATCATCACATTGTATGCTCTAAAAGCTTACAATTTTCTCAATTGTACTTCAGTAAATAATAATACTGCTCACTTTGGTGGGACATTTAGCAAAATTGGAATGATACAGAGACGATTAGCATGGGCCCTGAACAAGGATGACAGGCAAATTCATGATGCATTCAATATTTTTCTTCAATAACATAAATACACAAATAAATAATAACAATGATAACAAAATGAAATGAAAGCATTAAAAAGTAAACACGATTCTAAAACATTAATAAAGAAAATACCAGATGCCTAGGGGGCTCAGTTGTTTAAGCATCTGCCTTCAGCTCAGGGCATGATCCCAGGGTACTGGGATCGAGCCCTGCATATGGCTCCCTGCTCCCTGGGGAGCCTGGTTTTCCCTCTCCTAGTCCCCCTGCTTGTGATCTCACTCTCTCTCATTCTGTCAAATATATAAATAAACTTTAAAAAAAAAAAAAAGAAAAGAAAACACCTCATGTCAAGAGTAAGCTTTTTTTTTTAATTCTCTTAGTAGGTAAGTGGGCTTTATCATTTGAATTATGCTAGCAAGCAGGTCCGCAATGAGCCACGAGAAGAACAGAGTGGCCTTCTATTGTATAATTTGAAGATCAACAAAAATAATCCTTCGGCAAATATCTCCTCTGCTACTTAAACTTGGCATTGCATTCCATTCCTATGCAAATTAACAACCAACTATAAGGTTCTTGGTTCCTGGAGACCCATGGGGGCTGCTCCTCTCAGCAATGGCCCTCAAACTTCAGCATTCCATAACAATGACTGAGAAAGCTGATTCAAAAGGCAGATTGGGAGGGTTTAATATGGGGCCCAAGAATCTCGCATTTAAATAACTATTTCAACTGATTAAGATGGCAATCATCCTAGAACCACTTTTTGAAAAATACTGCTGTAGAAGATGAATAGTTATCCATTCATATGCCTGGAAATCATCCCAGCGCTGTCTCCCTGTTAGCCCCTTTCTAGTGGTGGATAATATAAGACAAAGGGCAGGAAAATCTAAGAGAGAGAAGGCATTAGAGTGATGACACCTAACCGGAAACAGTTTTGAAGGTGCCAGACCAAGAAAGGATACAAGTTATTTGAGTTTTGGACGGCATTGTCCAATAGAATTCCCTGCAATAATGGAAAATGTTTTATATGCACATGCTCCAATACAGTAGCCACATGTCACATGGCTTTTGAGCATGTGAAATGTGGCCAGTCCAGCTGGGTAACTGAATTTCAAATTTCAAATTTTATTTAATTTTAATGAATTTTCATTTAAATGTATATAGTTACATGTGAGAGGGGCCATCCTACCCAACAGCACAGGACTAGAGGTTTGTCTAAGGCTGGGACAGGGATTTAGTGAAAAGAAAGTTGGTACTAAATCAAACTATTTCTAATTTACAATTTTGCCAAAGGTCAGCTTGATTATGTAGGATCACAGTATCTAATCTTGATATCATGCTACCAGGGAAGTCGTAAAATTGGTAAGATGTATTTAACTAATAGTTCCTCTATCATTCTGCCAGTCAAATAAATTGCTTTCAATACAGAAACCATTGAAGTGTATTTTCAAGAAATCCTAGTGACAGTTTGGTAAATGATAGGCAGAAGAAAAAATATTAGTGGTAAATATCCTTAGTAGATTCTTCAAAGTCTGTCAAGCTAAATTTTCAGTGGTCATTGAAAAATTTATTTTGAGTTTAGAAAATTTAAAAAGATCTTTGAGTGAGGAAACTTTATTTGTAATGGTGTTAACACTTATAGAACACTGACCAGATGAAAAGGAGAGCGTGAAGTGCTCTACACACACATTATTTGACTTAACCCAGATGGCACCAACACGTTCTACTAGTCGCATTTTGAGATGAAAGAATCAAAAAATCAGAGAAGTTAAGTAACCCGCCCAAATTGGCATAGCCAGTCAAGTTGAAACAAGGTCGGAAACAAAATCTGTTTGCCTCCAGATCACTATGCTAAGTTGCCTCTTTTTATTTAATCTTGGAATAGGGGATTTGACCAAAAACTTTCCTCAGACGTTTAGTATTTTTAAAAATCAGTTCTACTGTTTGATGACTAAAATAATAAATTTGAAATGCTAATAAATTGTTCTAATACTACTGCTCTTTCTAGGGAAGGTGACTTCTATGATGAGCAGGTCCTTCAACTCTAATGAGCACCTTAGTAAGTGGCAGTTTGTGATGATGAGTCTGAGGTGAGTTCTAGAGCTTGAGGGCTGGGGAAGCTGCCCTTCAAGAGTGGGAAGAAACTGAAATTCCTGAGACAGTTCTGAGGTAGGAAATGAGGAGAGATGGGACTGAGGAGGAAAGAGAAAGGAGAAACGTCATTATGAGTTTTAAGAGGATAAAGACAATGTGGATTAAAAGGCCAGTGATATTCCCCTGTGGCTGGTGGCTCGAGGACATTTTAAAATCAGACAAAGCTCACGCCCAGTTTAGTTACTTTGCTATCATATAAACCACGCCTCCTCTCCACCTACCCTCCTTTAAACTTTATTATTTTTTTAAAAGATTTTATTTATTTGAGAGAGAGAGAGAATGTGGGAGCATGAGCTGGGGAAGGAGCAGAGGGAAAGGGAGAAGCAGACTCCCTGCAAAGCAGGGAGCCCAACTTGTGGCTTGATCCTGGGACCCTGGGATCATGACCTGAGCTGAAAGCAGACGCTTAACCGACTGAGCCACCCAGGCGCCCCCTCCCTTTTAAGCTTTATTAAGTATCACTCAATTCAGTAATATTTGTGAAAGCCAAGTGTCAGAACAGACCCAAAGGTTATCTAGTTCAAGCTCCTCTCTGATACTTGGATGCCTCTTGAAACTTCCCTACCATGATCATGTTTGTTTGTTTTCTTTGAACTCTCCAGTTAAAAAGAACTCAAGAACTCAAGAACTCCTGCAATAACACCTGAGAAATAATCACCTGAGAAACTTACCTTCTCATAGTCATATTTTTATTGTTTGGAGCTGTATTGAATGACTGAAATTTCTGATCTATGTGACTGCCGGTAACTTCTGACTCTTTCCCCCCTCCCATCCCAGTTAACACATCCCTAATTCCACCAACCATTTCTCAGGATATTTTGGGGCGCCTGGGTGGCTCAGTCGGTTGGGCGAATGTCTTTGGCTCGGGTCATGATCTCAGGTTCCTGGGATCGAGCTGTGCATTGGGCTCCCTGCTCAGCGGGAAGCCTGCTTCACCTTCTCCCACTCCCCCTGCTTGTGTTCCCTCTCTTGCTATCTCTCTCTCTCTGTAAAATAAATAAAATCTTAAAAAAAAAAAAGATATTTTATGAGGACTTTAGTCATTCCAAATACTCATTCTGGAATAATTTTCAGCTTTTCCATGGTCCTCAAAATACGATATCCAAATTCAAACAGAACTGCAAGAATAATCTGACCAACACAGTATAGATCTGGGTTCTCACCACCATCTCAATAGATCCATCAATCTCGGAACACAATCTAAGCTTTAGTTTAGTCATTCTTTGACAACCGTATCTAATGGCTTAAGGGTAATGTCAATTTTTTTCTGTGTTTCCACTTAGCCCTCATTATGAATCTGACTGTAATTTTTTTTTTACACTGTACAAAAGAATCTTTGCAGCATAAAGGAAAGAGCATGAACTTCAAACTTAGAGAGCTACCCATTTGCATTCAGTCTACATTGTATTAGCTCTGTGACCTTAAAGAAGCTACTTAATCTCTCTGAGACTTGGTTTCAATGTTTGGATAGGAGTATGATGATGTCTAGTTGTTTCGTTTTATCATGAGCCTTAAATGCACTATATGTGTGAAATAACTAGCATGATGTCAAAGTGCAGCTCTCTTCCCTTTGGTGCAGCATGTTATTTTGACCCAGGGTCAAGCTCATCAACATTTTTCTACATTAATTTCATAATTCATTGAATTAGCTATTCTTCTCAGGATTTCAGCATCTATGAAATTTAACATGCTTTCAAAATTTCCATCTAAGTTATTGAAAATAATGCTAATAAGACAAAACAAATAGTGATGTTTTCTAGTAAGAAATCTTCCAAGCTTGTGTTAACCAAGCGTTTACTGATCGGAAAAAAAAAAAAAAAAGTAAGAAAAATAAAACTCTTAAATTCAGTGAAGCACAAAGGAGTTCTCATGCACAAGATGGTCATATAAAGACTGGATGTTGTAATATTGGGTAGAATCCAAATGCTTCCTACATAGCATCTCATTCAATGCTCATATCATATCAAGTTTTTGTAGTAGACTGGAAAGATATTATCACCCCTATTTTATGGAGCTTAAAGGAGGTCACACAAATAAGATTTCACAATCCTTCTTCAATAATTACAAATCTTCATTTCAGTTACCCATTCTAGAATGTTATCTAAAACATGAAAGCATTTGTAGTTTATTATATCTACTTCTTCTACATAGAAAAAAATGCAATTAACTCATTTACCACATATTGGTTTTTAATCATCTACTTATGCCTGACACTGTCCTGGGTATCGAGGAAAGCAGCAAACAAAGGTCTGTGCTTTCATGGATATTTTGGTGGAATTCAAAGACAAGAAACAGACACACCATAAGAGACTCTTAACACTAGGAAACAAACTAAGGGTTGCTGGAGGGGAGGTGGGTGGAGGGAATGGGGTAACTGGGTGATAGGACATTAAGGAGGGCATGTGATGTGATGAGTACTGGGTGTTATATGCAACTGATGAATCACTAAATAACCTCTGAAACTAATAATACACTACATGTTAATTCATTAAATCTAAATTCAAAAAATAAAGTTTGCTTTATATGAAATTTTAAAAAATGAAAGACAAAAACAAATAAATAGTATGACAAGTAACAATACTTACTGAAAAAAAATAAAATAGGGAAATGGAATATGCAGTGACATGAGTGATGGTTGTCATGCCGCTTTAGTCAAGAATGGTTGGGAAGGAGCACCTGGGTGGCTCAGTCAGTTAAGCGTCTGATCTTGGTTTCAGCTCAGGTCATGATCTCAAGGTCCTGGGATGGAGCCCCGTGTCGGGCTCCATCCGTAGCGGGGAGTCTGCTTGAGGATCTCTCTCTCCCTCTCCCTCTGTCCCTCTTTCTGCTCACTCTTTCTCTCAAAAATAAATAAAGAAATCTTTAAAAAAAGAAAAAA